CAATCAACAAACATTTACTAAGCACCCACAATATACTGGAATCATGCAGTCTCTGAATGAATGAACAACTCAGATTTTTGCTTCTTGCTCTACCAAGTAGGCCTGCTATTCTACAGCATTGCCATTGGAAGTTAGAAGGGAGAAGTGAGAGAAAATAAATGTATCAGTTCTGTATTGGTTTCCTAGGGCCACCATACCAAAGTACCACAAACTAGGTGGCTTAAAATAAAAAGTTTATTGTCTCATAGTTCCTGTGGTTAGAAGTCTGAAATCAAGCAAGACCACACTTCCTCTGAAACCTGTAAGGGAATCCTTCCTTGCCTCTTCCTGGCTTCTGACTGTCTGTTGGCAATCTTTGACACGCCTTGGCTTGCAGATGCATATCTCTGATATCTACCTTTCTACGTGGCATTATCTCTGTGTCTGTCTCCACATGGCTATCTTCTCATATGGATACCAGTCATATTGGATTAAGGGCCCACCCTACACCAGAATAACCTCATCTTTTTTAATAAATAAATAAATTTACTTATTTATTTTAGAGAGAGAGGGAGAAAAAGATCAATGTGAGAGCAAAACATTAATCAGCTGCCTCCTGCATGCCACCTACTGGGGATTGAGCCTGCAACCCAGGCATGTGCCCTGAACAGGAATTGAACCAGCAACCTTTCAGCGCATGGGACTGTTATAGGTGGCAGGAATGGCACCAGGTGTTAGAGTGGTGGAATCAGACCGGACCTGGGTTCAGCAACCTTGGTATGTGAGTTCTGACTAGGAAAGAATTCAGAGCCAAGACAAACTGTAAGAGAACATCCTATATAGAAAAGAGAAACATGTAAATTGAGCGTCCCTCTACTATACTCACCAGCCAATCAGGAGTGAGTATGCAAATTACCCCCCCAAAAGCTGGTGGGTTAATTTGCATATACAGGCACCTGGCAGAGAGCAGAGTGGGAGAGCCAGCAGCTTGGCGGGGCGTGGCTTCCTCAGTCGCTCCCCTCAAACCGCCGGGTGGAGAGCAGAGCAGAAGAGCTGGCAGAGAGTGGAGCGGCTTGGGGAACTTGGCTCCCCAAGCCGCCAAACGGAGAGCAGAGACGGAGAGCTGGTGACTTGGACAACGTGAACAGTGGGAGGCCATGGGATGGAGACAGAGCAGGAAGGGAAAACCAAGAGCACCGGGAGCATCAGGAATTCTGGGAATAGTAGTTCTGGTGGCAGCCCCAGGACTGGAAGTGGAAGCCCAGAGTGCGGGGAGCACCAGGAATGCTGGGGATCCTGGTCCTGGGTGATGTTTCTCTCTCATTGATGTTTCTAACTCTATATTCCTCTCCCTTCCTCTCTGTAAAAAATCAATAAAATATATTTTAAAAAAAAGATTCCCAGGTGATTCTAATGTGCAGCCAAGGTTGAGGACCACTGTCTTAATAGAATATTCAGCAGTTTTCCAGGTGTGTCCTTTCAGGGTCTAGGTCTCCACTGATTGATTAGTCTGTTCCAGGGTAGGGGGTCATTATCCAATGTAGCTGGTCCTGATGTCAGTCATGGGATCACTGGTCTGATTTGTTGCTTTTCTGGGCCTGGAGCTAAATGTTATCTCTAGGGAGGAAAGGTCAGGGGTTCCAAACCGCATGACCAGCGATATGCTTGGGGAGGAAAGGTCATCCTGGGGGTGAGGTCCTTCCCTACAATTGTCCTTTGCTAGGCACCTGGGGCTTTCCAGCCTGGTGACCTTCTGCACCTGGCCCATCATCCTTGCTCTGCTCATGTCTGCCTAACTGCCTACAATAGGATGATGCCCAACCAACTGAGCCTCACTGGCCAGGCCTGACCTCATCTTAACTAATTACACAATGGTCACATTCTGGAGTACTGGGGGTTATCTTTTGGTGGTGGGGGAGGGGTTGCGGGGGGGATCCAATTTAATCCATAACAGGTTGGGATTGTCAGTGGTTTAATAAGACATTTCAAGTATGGATTTTATTAATCTAGAACAGTGGTTCTCAACCTTCTGGCCCTTTAAATACAGTTCCTCATGTTGTGACACAACCATAAAATTTTCGTTGCTACTTCATAACTGTAATGTTGCTACTGTTATGAATTGTAATGTAAATATCTTATATGCAGGATGGTCTTAGGTGACCCCTGTGAAAGGGTCGTTCGATCACCAAAGGGGTCGCGACCCACAGCTTGAGAACCGCTGATCTAGAAGGTTGTTCTCCGTTAAAAAAAAAAAAAAAAAGAGGTAGCATAGAATGCACTCTGAAGGCAATGTTGATCTGAATCCTATCTTTCTTTACCTTTTAATAATTAAGTGTTGTGACTGTGGGTAAATTAATTCTTTGTGCCTCAGTCTCTCTATCTATAAAATGGAATTCATAATAGCACTTATGGGACTATTGTAAGGATTATATGAATTAATACCAGGATAGTCCTTATAATAATGACTTGCACATAGAGAACTTTGATATGTTAACAGCTCTTTTCATTAAAAAAAATGAGTAGCCATGAGTGGATGATTCTTATTAATTAACTAGAGGCTCAGTGCATGAAATTTGTGTGCTGGAATGGGGTTCCTCAGCCAGGCCTGCACCCTCTCACAGTCCAGGACACCCCGGGGGATGTCCAACTGCCAGCTTAGGCCCACTCCTTGGAGAGCAGGCCTAAACTGGCAGTCGGACATCCCTCTCACAGTCCAGGACCCCTTGCTCCTTAACGCCTGCCACCTGCTCACTGCTCCTTACCTCTTGGCTCGCTGCACGTTAGCACTGCAGCAGAGGCAGGAAAGGCTCCCACCACCGTCATTGTGCTTGCCAGCTCTGAGCCCGGCTTCTGGCTGAGTGGCACTCCCCCTGTGGAAGCACACTGACCACCAGGGGGCAGTTCCTGTGTTTCAAGTGACCTGTCATTCTGGTCGTCCACCATAACAGTCACTTAGGCTTTTATTGTATAGATTCCCCTGAGAAAGGTGTAGTGATAGGTACGTTGTAAAAAAGCTTGGAGGAATAAGTATCCCACTGTGTGAGTGCACCAATAAGAGCCTCCTTCTAAACAAAACTGGGCCTGAGTGATGGCTGCTGCCCAGTACACTTCCCATCCTTGCTGAAGTGGCCTCTCTTGGCATCTGGTAGACCAGAAAGCCAACAGACTTCCAAACCCCCGAGGAATATTTCTTCTTTCTTTTGGACAGTCAGCCTCTGCAGAGCAATTGATTGAAATATGTTCACAGAAAATACATCACTACTGCCCGGCCACAGTAGCTCAGTGGTTGAGTGTCGACCTATGAACCAAAAGGTCATGGTTCAATTTCTGGTCAGGCCATGTGCCAGGGTTGCATTACAGCTCGATCCCCAGTAACAGGTGTGTAGGAGGCAGCCAATCAATGATTCTTTGTCCTCATTGATGTTTCTCTCTCTCTCCCTTTCCCCTCCTCTCTAAAATCAATAAAAATATGTTTTTAAAAAAAGAAGAAAATACATCACTACTAGGAAAGCCTATGTATATAATTTAAATGTTTTTGGTTCTTTTTGGATTTCAACTTAAAATGGCCTCTGGGCTCGATCAGAGAAAAGGCAAGAAACCACCATGATGCCTGTCTTGGACAATATGAAAGCAAATTTCAGCATTTGCTGGGCCTGAAATCACCTCCCTCCAACCCCAGAAGAGCCAGAATGTAGATTTGATTTCCTTAGAGAGATCTCCACGGGAAAGAGGAGATTCTCATCCTTTCTGTCAAGACAGAGAGGAGCGCTGCATTCTGTATTCATGCATGAAATGAACACGGTTGCCATCCTTGATTCCTATGATACTGAATGTTAGAGTCATTAGGTAAGTGGGGTGGAGAGGATGCTGACAAGAATTGAAAAAAGATATGATTGCAGAGGGGGTCAGGCTTCAATTGTTGAATCAAGACCCATTGTCTTGCCTCACTCAAACATCATGGAATTTTTTAGCTGAAAGGCCCTCGAGGGGTTGCTAATTCAGTTAAACCAAAGGGTAGCAAGTAGTTTATTACAAATAATAAAAATGCAGTTTGTGAATGATTGACTGACTGATTGGTGGATTATTAAATTCTAGTGGATTCAAAGTTCTTATCCTACAATGGTTGTCAAATTATGGTTCCAGGACCACCACTCCCAGCAGCAACATCATTTGAGAACTTAACAGAAATGCACATTTTCAAGTCCCACCCAAGACCTACTGAATCTGGGTGGGACCTGGTAACCTGTGATTAATAAGCACTGGCGGCTATTCTGATGCCCACTCCAGTTTGAGAACCACTGTTTAAATCACATTAATGTAACTTCACTGGCATTCAGGTGTGCTTTATCAAGGGAGAGTGGAAGGGGTGAAGTGGCATACAACTACTAGTGCTCAGAACGGAGTGCAGAGAGCTGTGAACTTGTGCACATGTCATTCTTGGGTGCTCCCCAAGAATGACAACTAGAATGGGGTTTTAAATAGGGGAGAGAGGTCCAGCACAACTCTGAGAACAACAAGGACAAGTGGAGGTTTATAGCTAAAGAACAGGGTGGGGATGAGTGTATAGCAAGTTACTAAGATAAAACATCAAGACTAAAGAGATTCTTGCTAGACCTACTCAAGCCAGGATAATAAGATAATGAGGGTGGGGAATGAGGAATTTGATCAGATATCAAGGGTTGGGGATATTTCTGCTAAGCTGACCCAGCAGGATTCTTGCTAAAACTTGAACTAATGGCTTAAGGACAGAGTCCAAGGTCAAGGCCTTGAGGGTTTAGCAGGGGTGGGGAACCTTTATTCTGCCAAGGGTCATTTGAATATTTATAACATCACTAGAGGCCCAGTGCACAAAAATCATGCACTGGTAAGGTCCTTAGCAGTTGCTGGCTGCCAGCAGGGTACTCCTTCCCTTTCCCTGGCCGACCCCACCCCCTAGCCGAACTCCTGGTCAAGGGGACAATTTACTTGCTATGTTTTTTTTTTGTTTTTGTTTTTGTTTTTGTTTTTGTTTTTGTTTTTTGTTTTTTTTTTTAGCAGGCTTAATTCACTTTATTTTTCTTGTATAAAATTATGTGGTGGCCACAGCGGGAGCCTGGGTCCTCTGCACAGAAACTCTGGTGTGGGTCTTGACAAGATGGTCAGTGAATTCCTGATGTGGAGACGTGGTGAACACGGTCTCTTTCCAGAGATCTAGGGTGAGATAGCTGTAGGTCTTAGAGATGGCATCAAAGGTGGCCTTGGCGAAGTTGCCCAGGGTGGCAGTGCAGCCCCTGGCTGAAGTGTAGCAGTCGTCAATACCAGCCATCATCAGCAACTTCTTAGGCACAGGGGCCGAGACAATGCCCGTACCCCTGGGGGCAGGGATGCGGCG